GCTGGACCTTCTTTTGATTGTTCAGGTTCCTCAAATCGTGGAATCACCGCCCCTTGTTATGGTGCAACTGAGCAAGCCTTCTAAGACCACCTTTCGGCACGCCCGTAAACACATTTATGAAACATAAAGCAAGTAAGGAACACAATTCTAAGGCCTATTTTGATAAATATTTAAAGCTTTTAGGGCCAATTGAAAACACATTTAGGAAGAGGAAATCTACCCTTCCAAAAGTTGATGGCGTCTCCCCTTTAGTGAATCAATGGGCCAAAATCTTATGTTGGAATTGCAGGGGTGCTCGCAAGGCAGCTGTAAGCAACTACCTGACTCAAATTGTTAGCGGTCATGATGTTCATTTACTTGGGTTGCTTGAGACTAAAGTTGAAGGCTTTGAGTAAGCACTTGAATTTCTTTCATCAACTTGCTCAAGCTTATTCATGGCGGGATTCTTTCTATTTGGGGACGGGATCTTGTTTTTTTTAAATATTAAAGAAGCTTGTCATCAATTTTTTTGTGGTACTGCCTCGTTCCCTGCTAACTCCAGCTGTTTCATAACTTTTGTGTATGCCAATAAGGATTATCTGGTGAGGAGAAATCTTTGGAGTAAGCTTTATGCTCGTCTGGATCTCTCGGCTCCTGTGGTGGTTGGGGATAACTGCATCACGGCACAAGCTGATAAGAAACGTCGGAAGAGGTTTATAAACTCTTTAGGTGTTTGTGAAATGATTGACTTCCAAATTTCCAATGATTTGCGGGAACGTCCATTTGTTGGGCCGCGGTTCACATGGTCTAATAACAAGCCTGGAAAAAGCTGCATATGGTTTCTACATGACTGTTTCCTAATTAATTGCTGCCTTCAATTTGAAGCCGAATGCTTATGTTCAACATATGCTTCGCTTCGAGTATGATCATAGTCCAATTCTCTTCAATCTTGAGGTGAGGGATGACAAATCTTAGAGATGAGGGGTCCATTTTGAAGACACTTGGTTGACTTACTCTTCAACTTGGAAAATTGTGAGGGAAACCTGGAAGGCTGTTGCCCCTGACACTTATGTGGAGTTTCTCCAGAAGAAATGTCAACGTACTCTTAAAGCTCTGTTTTATTGGAGTAAAAATAAAATCAAAGAATTAAGCACTCTTAAGGTGAGACTTGAAAAGGAGGCCAAGGAACTCTGGTTGGCTGAATGCTCTGACTAAGGACTTACGGAAGAGTTGGAGAGATTTCTCAGATTAAAGTCACATGGGCTGAGCGCCACTCTCGCCAGAATCAATGCTCGGTAGAAACAACACACTGCGATGGTTGAATGAAGGTGACTCAAATTTTGCTTTCTTTTAGTCAGTCGCTAATGCTTGCAGATCGACCAACCAGATCAAAGGTGTTGTGTCTGAATCTGGAGAGGTGCTAAATGATCCCAACTTTATCATGTAGGCTTTTCTCCAACTTTTTGGAAATAATTAGACGGGTAATGAGGTTGAGCTACTCGCTTGGCCTATTTTCCATGGGTGCATGCAGGTTTCTATGCATGAAAATTTCATTTGTTGTGAGGTTCCTGAGGTGGAAATTTGGGAGGTCGTGAACTCCTTTGGGAATAATCATACCCCGAGGTTGGATGGTGTAACAATTTCCGTCTTTAATAAATTCTAGCAGGCGGTTAAGACGTAGGTTTGTAATGCGGTTTGGGAATACTTTGCTACTAATACTATGAACTTAAGCTGGAAAGAAACTGTAATTGTGCTCTTCCCCAAAGTTGAGAATGCTGATAAACCTTCTAAATTCAAAACAATTAGTCTATGCTAGTTGATTTATAAGGTCATAGCTACTTTGTTAATTGGATTAAATGCCTTCTTCCCAACATAATAGCAGAGGAATAAGATGCCTTTGTTCCAACTTGATCTATTTCCTCCCATTATCTCCTCGCTAATGAGATTGCTTGTTAGTTTCAACATTTTACCTTGTAGGCGGGTTTTATAGCTCTTAAAGTAGCTATGGAACACTTGTATTATCATATGAATTGGATAATGCTCAACCATGTTATGCAAGCTTTTGTATTTCTGGTGAAATTCATTAACTGGGTGCTTCAATGTATCCAGAACCTAAAGTTTGCTATTTTGATTAATGGCAAAAGAATGCCTTGGATTGATGCGGATTGTGGCTTTAGGCAGGACTGTTCACTCTCTTGTTACATATTCATCCTTTCTTTTGAGCTTCTCTCCAAAGCATTGCACCAGCATGAGACACTAATTGAGATTTCTTTGATGAAGGATGGGACCCGCATCTCCCATCTTCTTTACGCAGGTGATATTCTTCTCACAGTGAAAGCCACTATGAAGTATACCAAATTAATCAAGGAAATTCTTGCTCACTATTGCAAATGGACAGGGCAAAGTGTTAATGAGGTGAAGTCCTCCATCCTTACTAGTAAAAAAACTCTTCAGTGGTGGAAAAACAAGGTAGCCAGAGGCTACAAAAAGTTTGATCAAATTGCTTATCTGGGTGTCGAGTTGGCTCTGAGCAAACTCAAGCAATCTGACTTCAACAAGCTCATTAGTAATGCTTTTAACAAAATTCAAACCTGGGGGAACTGGCACCTCTCGTTTGCTGGTAGAATTATTTTGGTACGAACACCCCTTCTTCCCATGTCAATGTTCCAAGTGACAAATTTTGAACCTCCAAAAGCTGTTCTTCGTGGCATTGCAAGTCTGAGCTGAAAATTCTTATGGGACAAAGGCCCGCAAGCTCAAGGCCTTCATTATATTAGTTGGGAGGCGGGTGGCTTGGGCCTTCACACATCTGACTAGTGGGCGGATATCTTGTGGGCTCGGCTCACTTAGGAGTTTCTCAATAAACCGAATCAATTAGCTTTCAAGTGTGTAGCTGAGAAATATGCGAGAAATACTGAAGCTCTATTTGGCCCAGAAAAGTTTTTGTAGGTTTGAAAATTGTTGTGAATGGGGCCTCTAGCCTTTCAAAGATAATAAGATGGAAGATTGGCCATGGGAGGGACGTTAATGTTTATGAACAAATTTGACTTTTAGACCTTCTTTTCTCTCGACGACCCAATTTTATAAATCTGCTGGAAACTGTTGCAATTTAAGTGGCTACTCTTATATACGAGAGGGACACTGGGATGTTTCCGCCCCTCAAAATTTGTTTGGAGATGTTCTTGTTCAATTAATTTTACAGCTGCAACCTTTGGGGAGCCTGTAGACCTTCATTTTTTCCGGCCATTTTGGGTAGGACTATTAACTCGTTGGCATACGATAGACTTTTCCAAGATTCATCGGTTGACTATACCTGGCGCAATAAGCTTCAGCTTCAACCATATGAACATATTTTTTGGTTGCGGGTTTTCATGTAGGCTATACCACTAATGCTTGGCTCTGCGAGAGGCGCATTGAGGAGGATTTGGATTGCCCTTGGGGTGCCCAGATATTGAAGATATCAATCATGTTAAAGGCAAGTGTAAAGTGCTAGAGGAGATCTTTTTATTTTTCATAAATGGGGTATTTTGCTCTGTTCTTTTGAGAATATGGAAGATATTATCAAAGCCTTTAAATACCTACCACGCGCCAATGCTTCCATTGGGAGGTTCTACTGTTCCAGTATTTATCACTCTTGGCATGGTCGAAATGCAAAGAAACATGGGCACCCGATGCGCTCACCCATGGTTATAGCGACTATGGTCTTGGATTCCTTCACCATTACCTCTGATCAATCCATCCAGGAGCAATGGGGCACTAATCGACCGAATAGGCTGGATTTACAACTTTCTTGGTTCCCCCCTCCTGGTTGGATTAAATTAAACTTCGATGGCGCTCGTCTCTCCAATAATATTATTGTCGGGTTGGGATGGTCATCCGGGATGAAGAGGGGAAGATCATTCTTGCGCCTGGAAAGAATCTCCTACATTAGGACAACTCACAAGTTGAATATGAAGCGGTTCTTTTTGTTGGCTCTCTTCTTCAAGCTTGGATGTTTGAAACTATGGGGATCATCATTGAGGGGGATAATGAAGCAATCATTAATATTTTTCAAGAAAGCTTGAAGGCTAAGGTTTGGCAGGGTTGAGAGTGGGCTTGATATATCTTTTTTTTCTCAGTTTAGACAAGTTCTTTTTGTTTTTTCTTATAGAGAATGTAACAAAGGAGCCCATTTTTGTTCTCGGTTCACTTTGGATAGGTCTTTTCTTTGGGATGCTCACTCTTGTGACCCCGTGTTTTTGAGTGTGGTGATGGACAACGCTAACCAAACTACTTCTTTTGTGTAGCTTTTATAGTTCTCTTTGTACTTTTTGATTTTTTTAATGCAAAATACACCCTTTAACAAAAAGGGCGCCGTTTCATTTGATCTCCAAGAAGCACAATAGAGTGGCTCATTTTTTTGCACAATTGACATTACATGATAGTTTTATTTTGAATCATGTACACGAGAATCATGCTCTTTTTTCTCTTCTTAGAGAGGATAGATCACATTTTTTACTTTTGTAGTTGTGTAGCTTTTATAATTTTGGCTTTGTAATATGGAATGCAAAATGCAAGTGTCAAACAATATAGTCTGTGGACAATATTATAATCACATTAACTGAAGTATGTCACATTTTTATTATAAAATCACTATCAATGGTTTCACATGTGTATTTTAATCATTACATTTCTTTATTTTAGTTTTGGCAATTTCCTTCATAGTCCACATGATTGTAGTGACTCATTTCATTTATATTTTTTCTTGCTCGAATATTTATAGATTGTGTTCTTCGAAGCCTACAAAGCCAGTTTCTAATTGTAAATTTAATTTGACAGTTTAAGCTAACCTAGTTTTTTTGTTTTTCTCTAATATTTATGGATTTTTTAATTCCGAACTTCAGGCTTAACTCTTAAACCTTTCTTGTTTTCGTTTTTTTTTGAAGAAATAGTTTCGTCTTTAACATTCTCAATATCTTTCATTTTTTCCAAGAGTGAAGCATATTCCGGATAATGCTCATAATATTATTTCAATGTTCTAGCCAAGCTATCCCCGCACACCTTGCATTAGAAGAGGTTGGGTGATTCGTCAAATTATTAAGTTGGTAATTTTTACAGGATTTATGGGATTCATTATTGAGCAGGTAAGCAATCCAAAAAAAAAAAAAAAAAATTTTTTTTTCCTTGGAATGAATGTTAAGACATTATTTTAACATGAATACTTTTGATAATTTTTCAGTACATCAATCCAATTGTCAAGAATTCTGTACACCCACTTAAGGGGAATTTTCTTAATGCTATTGAGAGAGTCTTGAAGCTATCAGTTCCTACCTTGTACGTGTGGCTTTGCATGTTCTATTGCTTTTTCCATTTATGGTATGTTAATCAATTCTGTTTCATCTTTGTATTAAGTTTTACTGCTCAGTTTTGCAATCCAATTTTATGGTCCTATTGACTCCCTTTTTTGGCATCCTTTGCAGTAGAAAGAATATGGTTCTAATTTATTTTCTAAACGTGTTCCAAGTTTTAAAAGGCACCTTGACCGCTAACTTGTGCTCTTTTTTGATGCATTACAGGTTAAACATTCTTGCAGAGCTCCTTCGCTTTGGTGATCGTGAGTTCTATAAAGATTGGTGGAATGCAAAGACTATTGAAGAGGTTGGTTGATTTACAATTTTGCACTTCTTTTCAGATTATTTTCATGACTTTTATACCCAGTGCGAAATAATTAATAGTATGAAAAATTTTTGTCTAATTGTGTTTTTTTAACTTTTCCTATGCATTTATTTTGCTGGACCTGCAACAGTACTGGAGAATGTGGAACATGGTAATCCTCATATCTCAGCTCACTTTACGAATATTCGATACTTAATTTCTTACTGAATCCATTTTGTATTATACTTGGTGAAAAATGCTGTTCATATGAAAAATCTTCCTTTTTTATATTCATCCTCTTGTCATATGACGAAGTTCTAGTTAAATTTTTGTTCTGTATTGCATGATAGTAATATTTTCTCCATCAACTCTCTGAATACTCATTAAAGACTGTTAGAATGGAGAAAATTAGGATTTATTCATTTTTTTTATATTAAAATCATACACGCACAACATGCGTTATGAAACACCAGCATGATTTCCACTAATTGGAACTCAAACTCACTAAGAATTTCATTCTCTTTCTTTTGCTTTCATTTCCGCATTATTGATCTGAGAGATCTCAACTATCTATTCATCAAATTGTGAATTATTGTAATTATTTTTTGCTAATTTTTTTCTTCAGATGATTTTCTATAATTGTATAAATTTTGTGTTTGCTGAAACGAAATTTATTAAAACCATCGACATATTTGCAGAGTTTCTTGCTTTTCTTTTTTTATTCTCATATCTGCAACCTTCATCATTGCATTGTCATAATCCTGCATACAGTTCTTTTTACCTAATGTTCTCCTAGTTGTTGCCTTCATCAACACAAGCTTATTTTTGCCCTTTTTTCCTTCACAAACTAATTACTTACCATTGTTTTCATGCCCGTGAATAAAAACAACTCTTGTGCTCCCTTAGTCTTAGTTTCCTTTGGAACGGAGGTTTGCAATCCACATTAATTTTGGGAATCGCAAAACGTACATTTAACATATCATTTGATTGGAAATAATTATCTCAAGCGCTTATAATTGATTTTCGCCTTTTTAAAAAAAAGAGAAAAATTAGGCTATTTATTTAACACAAAATCTCAATAAAACGATCCCACGACCAATGTTTGGTATGAACATGAATACGATGATTTCTTCATGTTAGAAGTTAGTAGCATTGATTTATTTTTTTTCCTATATTTACTGTTTTATATATTTATTTCCTGTTTTATGTATTTCCTATTTGTAAATCTTTCCTATTTTATATATTTTCTATTTTATATATTTTTTATGTTAGGAATCGTGTAAATTGTACTTATACCTCTCCTTTTATGTCAATAAGTTTACCCTGCTCAATTCCCAAAATTTACATGGTATCAGAGATAAAGGATCCGGCTCCAGACACCGGCCCCTTCTTCCTGTTGCCCCTAGCATTCTTGTCTATATTTTTTTCAACAAGACTTCTATTTCATTTGAGCTTTACTTAAATGTTATTTTGCATTTTAATTTCATTTTCAGTCCAGATAGTCATTTAAGGTCATTTTCTATCACTAGAAATTTTGTCAGCTTCTCGACATTTTTCTTACTTAGGGGGCATCTTTGAAAATGCTTTGTTTATTCACCAGGCGAAAAAATGTGTATATGAGTAGTGTTTGAGACGCCATGACCGGCTTTTTTACATCCACCGCGCTAAGACATGCACGTATGGGTCTTCATGTACTTGCATGGAAATTCACAAATAGTTTTCCTCGTCACATCAACAATGATACATGTAGGTAATTATCTCGGTAGTCTATGATTTCTATATCCACTATAACAAGAAAACTTGTATGTTTTAACCTTCACAAAAAATTATCCAAACAAATATAAGCCTTCTCTGTCATGTTGGGAAGATGAACGTGTGTACTTAAACATCGCAGCAGGCATGCTTCTCATTGTACTTGCGTTTGTGTGGTATCAACAATGAGGCAATAAAAGAAACGATTATGATGATCACAATGCAAATTATTATTATTATTATTATTTTTTCATTTTCTCTTTTTTTTTATCATTCCTTTCCTATTTATTTATTTATTTATTCAATTTTTTTTCCTTTTTTTATCTATATCAGGCAGATAGAGAAAATATGAGAGATAGAGAGGGAGAAAGGGGTAGTGTTCTTGAGTAGAGAGGGAAAGAGAAAGAAGGGGAGAGGAATATCTGTGGTCGTCAAGGTGGAGAGAAAGTGGAGAGGGAGAGACGAGGAAGAAAGTGAGGCAATGAACTTTAGAGAGCGTGAAGGAAGAGGAGAAGAAGAGAGGGAGGAGGAATGGAATAAGAGATGGAAAGAGGTGCTGCGGCATGTGCAAAGGTGGTTGCTGGTTGATGCAAATGAGAATGCACATTGATGATTATGCTAGGGAGTGTGGGTGCGGAATGCATGCTTGGTATGCGCATGGGTGTGTGCGGGTTGGCAAGCATGGGACACATGTGGGGGCACCTGGCTCTACATGCATAGGTGGTGAGCTCAACAACAACGGGGTGCAGCTGTGAGAGACGAGAATGATGGAGAGAGGGGGGAAGGGAGAGAGAGAGAGAGAGCATGTGAGAATGGGGAGGGGTGTATATGTGTGCACGTGCGTGCACACAATTTAGATGATATGTGGCTCTCTAATAGGCTAGTTTTAAATTTAAATTTGTTTTTGTGTGTTTGGTGAAGGTGGTTTATATTTGAGAAAGAGGAGGGAGGGAGGGAGAATGGGAAGGGTTGTATAAGTGCGTGTGTGCGTGCACAGAACATAGGTGATGTATGACTCTCTAACCTGTAACAATTAAGCTAGTTTTAAATTTAAACTAGTTTTTGTGGGTTTGGTGAAGGAAGTTTATAAGTTATGTTTGAGTTTGTTAGGATTTGAATTTTAAAGTGGATAATTTAGGACATTAATTGATTATTAGGGTTGTGTGTCTGTTTGGAATGATTGGAGAGGAGGCAGTGGCACATGTGGAATTAGTGGCTAGAAGTGGAATTGTGAATTTCACTCATTGATTTAAAATTGCTTGAAATTTGGATTGAAATCTATGTGCATGTGTAGATCAATTTTTTATGTATTAGATTTTGAATAAATGCATATATCATCCATGACATGAATTCTTTAAATCATTGTATAAATGCAAATGCATCCCCTAAAAGTGACACTATATGACCTGAATACAGTGAAAAGTATGCAAAGGTTGTTGCACCGACGGTCGGGTGTAGTGTTAAATAAGCAAGATTTCTCACATTATGGACGAATATGAGTAAAAAAAGTTAGTTAATAAAACTAATATTAGCATATGAAATTGAAATATAGGTACTTTCATAGGTAAATTAATGAAATTAGTAGATATTATGATTCATATGAAGATAAATATCATACACATTCAAGAAACTATTACGAGTATTAGAAAAAATAGTGAAAAAATATTAGAGAGCTTATTTTTATTGATATAAAGAGGGACATAAATGCCCATTACAGGACTTATTACTAAGGAAAACAATAAAAATAAAATGCAGTAGGTAAGGAAAGAAATAATAACAAATATAATAGACATTTTTTGATAGTTTTTCATATGATAAGTATTGTGTGATAGGATGTTTCATGCTTGTTCGGATTCCTTTTTTGAAAGCAATTGGAAGATCAAAATCAGGAGTGAAAGTAGATGGAAGGTTACTCTGAGTTGTAGGACCATTATTCAGCAAATGTGATTGAACATCTGCTGAGGCAATAACTGAGGTTGTAGTAACTTTATAGAATTTCTTTCTAGTATAAACCTGCAGCTCATGTTGAGGATTATGATCCGTTGGAAGTACTTCCCCCTGTCTCTAATAAGGTATCATCTGACAAAATAGAATTAATAGTGCTGATCCTAGTTTTCATATCAGAATTAGTTAAAGAAATGAGTAAAATTTCCTAAAAATTATTTTCTTCAACTAAGTTCTCCCCCTGAAGAAAATTATTTTGAAAAAATAGGTGATTGTCGATAAATTTGACATCCATGCTCTCAAAAAATTTCTTTTTTCAAGATTAAAGCATTTGTACCCACGTTTATTGGAAGCATACCCAATAAAAACACATTTTTCAGCTTTGGGATTAAGTTTTGAGCGAAATACATTTGGGATATGCACATAACAAACACATCTAAAGACTTTTAAAGAGAGATCAACTGTTATTTTAGATGTGGAAAAATAATTTTTTAAGACTTATAAAGATGATTTAAATTTCAGAACTCGAGATGACATTCTGTTTATTAAATAACAGGAGTCTAGAAGTGCATTGCCCCGAAGGTATTTAAGAACATTCATGGAAAATATAAGCGCCCTGGTAACTTCAAGTAAATGCCTATTTTTTCTTTCAACAATACCATTTTGTTGTCATTTTGTTGTGGTGTGTCACGACAAGTGGATTGATGCAGAATACCTTTTTCCAAAATAAATGTTCTTAAATATTTGTTGAAATATTCAGTCTCATTATCTGTTCTTAGAATGCCAATTTTTGTTTGAAATTAATTTTCAATCATGTGAAAAAAATCTTTAAATCGTTGTTCATCTTCAGATTTTTTTTTTCCAATAAGCACACTCATCAAACTCGTGTCTGATCATCAGTAAATGTTACAAACCATTTTTTTTCCAGAACGTGTTAACTTTGGATGGGCCCCAAGCATCACTATGCACTAAATAAAATGGTTTTGAAACAGAATATGGTTTTATTGGAAACGAAACACGATGATTTTTAGATAAATTGCACGCTTCACAATGAAGTTTTGAACAATCAATACTTTTAAATAGTTTAGGAAATAAAAATTTGAGATATGGAAAGCTAGGATGCCCCAATTTTTTATGCCACAACATAACTTGATTATAGTCAAAACTTGAACTAGTACTACTTAATCCATGAGCTGTTTTATTCGCAGAATCCGTTCCATCATAGTTGTACAAATCATTTATTTCTCTAGCAGTTCCAATCATCTTCCCTGAGTTCCGATCTTGAAAAATATAATTGGAAAGAGAGAAAAAAATGGAATAATCAGAATCTTTAGATAATTTGCTAACAGAAAGAAGATTACATGTAAGTTTTGGAATATGTAAGACAAATTTCAAAGATTTTTTTTCTGAAATTTTAATATTCCTTTTCCTGCAATAGGTGAAAAACTGTCATAAACAATTATGATTTTTTCGAAACGGGAACATGGATAATATGAATCAAATAATTGAGAAAAACTTGTCATATGATCAGAGGCTCCTGAATCAATGATCCAAGGAGTGGTACTTAGTAAAAAGGCCAAAGGATTACTACCTGCTTGTGCTATAGAATCGATAAGCGCATTAGATGATGAGCAAGATTTTAACAGTTTAAAAAGATGACTTAATTGCTCTTGACTAAGTGAAGATGACTCAATCTCATTTGCGGTAGGTGTGTTATGTTCACCAGATTTTTTTCCCTTACCATTAGGTGGTTTATCATGCAATTGCCAGCATTTTTTTCAAGTATGGCGTGGCTTTCCACAATAGTCACAGTGCAGGATGTTTTTGTCTTCTACATGCTGGTTGTGAGAAGTTTTCCTGCTTACTTGAGCTTCAGGAATAGCCAACGCCGATCCTTCCACGGACTCGGTTGAGCCTGCAGTCTTCTTTCCCAACATCACGTCTCCAACTCTCTTCTCTCCTTCCACAAAAACTTCACCAATTGGAGGCGGGATTTCTTCTTCCAATTATTCGGTCACGGACCTCATCATATTCAACGTTTAGACCTGCATGAAATTTGAAGATTCGACCAGTATCCACTATCTTCTTGTACTGGTTGCTGTCATCGTTTGATTTTCATTCATGATCGTTGAATAAGTCTAGGTCCTGCCAAATCCGCTTAAGAGAATTGAAATATTTTGTCACAGAATTCTCACATTGACAAATTTTCCCAAGTTGTAGGGTCAACTCATACACTTGGGATTGATTTCCAAGATCAGAGTACATTTCTGAAATATTGTCCCATAGTTCCTTGACTGTAAAGTAACACAGATAATTTGCACTTATCTCTTCATTCATGGAATTGACCAACCATGTCTTTACCATTGAGTTTTTTGCATCTCAAATGACATAAGTTATGTCTTTCACTTCAGATTTTTTTTATCATACGTGATATAGCCAATCTTTCCTCTTCCACAGAGATACACGCGAACAAATTATGACCATCGAAGAAAATTATTACCATTTAGTCGGATTGTAGTGATTTGAATGAGATGATTTTCAAAAGTATTTCTTTGAGGATCAGACTGAGATGGCTGAAGAGGCTGGTTTGTCATCGACGTGACTTCAGACATTTTAAAGATGAAGGACGTGAATTTGCTCGAGCCCGCTGAAGCAAAATTACCGCCTTCGTAGAATTATTGAGCGGATTGAGCTAGCGGTACAAGGCGTCGAACAGACAGGCGATGCAGACACGCAATCGAGAGGTACAGGACCGCAAGAACGGATCGCACTGGGCGTCGAACAGTTCCACGAGATGGATCGAGCGGCAAGTGAACGTATCTCTGAGATCAAACAGGGCCAAAGATTTAGATCCTACGTGGCTCTGGTACCATGAAAAAATAGTGGAAAAATATTAGAGGGCTAATTCTTATTGATACAAAGAGGGGTATAAATACCTATTACAGGACTTATTGGTAAAGAAAACAATAAAAATAGAATACAGTAGGTAAAGAAATAAATAATAACAAATATAATATGCAGCTAATCTCTCTAATTAAGGTGATAAAATAAATAGAGATTTCTAAGATCTTTCCTATAATTTATAACCCTCTAAATATAGAGTTATAATAAATATGGAATATAATCATCATTATTTGCGAGATCTTTCAACAGTATTCTATAATTTACACACTCTTGTTTAAATGTAGAAGCTGGGAGAAATGGGATAAAATATAAGGTGACCCGTAGGGAGCTTAAGAAAATAATTTGTGGTGTTAAAAATTCTGCTTTTAGTGATCTTTATGATAGATTATACAATAGAGTGGAAGATAAATGTATAAATTAACTTTAAAAGGAGATAACAATGATAAAGATTTAGTTAAAGTGTATTGAGTATGAAAATAAAAAATAAGTACTTTTTTAGGTGAGAATATTCAAATTAGGTGGGTGAAATATTTTGATAAATTTTTCAACAAAGATTTTGATAATAATATTGGCTTTAGTCATCTTAATATTGCTAATAATAATAATTTTTTTTTACACTCACATTAGTAATACAAAAATTAAATAGATTTTAAAGAAAATGAAGTGTGAAAAATCAATATGACTTGATGATATTCCAATAGAAGTGTGGAAATGTTTAGGAGATTTTAAAATTACTTAGCTTATTAAACGTTTTCCTATTATTTTAAAATTTAATTGACGCCTGAGGAGTAGAGGATGTGTATTTTGGCCCTTATTTTTAGGAGGATGCGCAAGAGTGTGTAAATTATAGAGGAATTATGCTAATGTGTCATACATTAAAAATATGGGAGAGAGTAATTGAACATCAATTAAGGCGTGATACAAAGATTTCTCAAAATTAGTTTAGATTTATGCCGAGCAAGTCTAAAATAGAAACTATTCATTTATTCAGAGATTTGATGGAGAAGAACATAGACAGTAAGGGGGATCTACAGATAATTTTGGTTGATTTAGAAAAAACTTATGATAAGGTTCCAAGAAAAGTACTTAAGAGATTTCAAGAAAAGCCTAGTGTTGATAAGACTCATATTCAAGTCATTAAAGATATGCACACTAGAGCTGTTTCTTGTGTTCGAACCAAAGGAGGATTGATTAAATATTTTCTTATTTCAGTTGGATTACATAAGAGATCAACTCTGAGCCCATTTCTTTTTGCCTAAATCATGATTGTTCTTACTGGACCTATATAGAAGGATGCACCATGATGTATTCTTTTCGCTAATGATAACCTTCTTGTGGATAAAACTAGAGAAATAGTTTAGAACAAGTTGAATTATAGAGATCAACTTTAGTTTTTAAAAGTTTTTATTTGAGTGGATCTAAAACTGAATACATGAAATATAATTTTAGTAGTAGTAGATCTAGTGGCGGTGTTGTAGCCATGGGTGATTAAGTCATCAAAAGGAGTGAACGTTTTAGATATCTCGGGTCTATTGTTCAAAGTGATGGTGATATAGATGGGGGTGCTATTAGTTGAATTGAAGTTGGATGGTTGAAGTGGAGAAATGCATCAGCCTATTGTGTGATAGGAAAGTACTGCTTAGGCTGAAAGGAAGTTTTGTAAGATGGTGGTGAGACCTGCGAGTGTTATGGCGTAGAATGTTGGCCTATAAAAGATGAGCATAAAATTAAGTTAAGTGTTGCTGAGATGAGAATGCTTAGATGGATGAGTGGCTTTACACGTAAAGACAAAATGTGAAACAAATATATCCATGAAAGGGTTGGTATAGCTCTAGTGACAGACAATATTAGAGAGAGTCGTCTTAGATGGTTTGGTCACATTAAACATCAACCATTTGATGACCCAATTAGGAGAGTATATATTTTAGAGTTGACTTTTTTGAATTATGTTAATAAAAGTAGAGGTAGACCTAAAAAAATTTGAGCATGCTGTATAAAAATAATCTTAATTTATTAGCATTAAATGAAAATATGACACTCAATAGTACACAATGGAGAAAAGGATTCATGTAGCCTCCCTCACTTCGTGGGATAAAAGCTTGTTGTTCTAGTTATTGCATGTATCATCTAGTTGCATATGCATGAATCTCTATATGAATAGGTACATAAATGCATATTGGAATATGGATTTCTTTAGAAGATTTAAACTTGATCCAAAATTGAACCAATCTTTGACTTGATTGATTTTGAATTGAACTTGATGAGCTCTTCTTGGTACAAATAGAGATCAGATTGTGCCAATCAACAACTAAACATGGTTTAATTCTGAATTTAGATTTAAGTACTTCAAGCAAATCTTGTGGAGTGAGGTTTGCTTGAGGTTTGATCATTCACAAACTCAAATCTTCAGCTAGGCCAAAAGATGGGAGATGATGAGGAAAGTTAATGATGTTGAAGATGATAGTGACAATGAAATTTACATTAGGGAATGGAGGCAGTGGCATGTCCAAAATTTTTTAGAGGGGAAACATATGCCAATAATAACAATGGAATTGTGAATTTTTCTCGAGGATCAATGAATGCTTGAAATGCTGATCGGAATGCATATACATATATAGATTTATTTTTTGTATGTTTTTATACATTGAATTAATGCTTATATGCTTCTATCTATTTATATTTAAATCTATTTATGTATTGTGGCATGTATGTTGGACTAATAGTCTTTTGGGGCATTTACTTGCATACCATACAATTCTTATGTATTTAAATGTCTAACACCTAAAATTTCATAGTTACACACATCACTCAAATCTTTAACTACACATAAAAAAATATCACTGACTAACTTTTTGAAAGTGAAATGCACCATTTCATGCATAGGTTTTATGGTACAGTAGTGCTATTAATGTAAATATTAAACTTTTGGTGTTAGATTTATAATTACATAACAATTGTGGTATGTATGTAATTTCTCTAATCTAATTCAGTGAACTTGATTTTGTTATATTCTAAGCATTGCCCTTAACTGATCATGCTTTTCTTGAATGCAGCCTGTCCACAAGTGGATGGTTCGTCATATATATTTTCCCTGCATAAGGAATGGCCTTTCAAAGGTAAATGTTTGCTGTATTATGGCATCAAGAACGCATATTTCTGTACTAAACACTCGCCCAAACCTGTGCAGCACGTTGTGGTGTTTTACGCACATTTTAGTTTTTTTTTTTTACTTGATGGGTAACTCATATTGATTGTCTCATCTAACTTGATGGGTTTATCATTATTCTTTCACGCAATAGAAAATTTATTAAAGAAAACATGGTTGTGAGCTAAACTGAGTAAATGAATTAGGCCTTATCTTTTATGGTTTGGTCTTACTTCTAAAGATGTAAAATTTTTTTCCTTACAGGGAGTTGCTATTCTGATTTCATTCTTAATTTCCGCTTTGTTTCACGAGGTACGTATAGATATTTTTATTCTGCATTTAAGCGCTTTTTTAATTTTAAACATGTTTATTAATTCCTTCCTTTTATGTGTCATCATTATTCCTCTTCAAGTTTTCCTTCGTCAAGGGCATATACTATAGATTTAATAAAGCAATATTTTGGTCTTGTATGAGTCTTAATGGAGGACAGTTTTCTTTGGGTTTGTGGGTACTTACAGGCAAAATGTTATCTCAAAATTTTATCCTCGAAATTTAATTCAGATGTAAGACATATCTTCTCAAGTTATATTAAAAAGCTTGATATGCGGCAGGATATTTTTTCTTATTTTGCAATAACAAAAAGACGACTATAACAATTCTTTTCTTTAAGTGCCAAAAAAAAAAAAGTGAAATGTCATCACTATATTGTAGTTAAAATAATTGATGACTGTAAAATAAAAAAAAAGAGAGAAAAAAATAATAATAAAATTATTTAATAAATTACATGCTCATGCGTGTTGAAGCTCACGTAAGTTCGATGGCCTATCCTCAGCTCTTTCTAAGCTACAAACAGATGCGAAGCCTCCTTTTTTGTTCCCCCGCTCACTTGGAGAACCACAATGAAGACAAAATCCTCTAAGAATTCCTTCCACTGCCTCTGTTTTCCCCTCGTCACTCTCTCACCCAATCATTCCTTTTTGTTCTTCCTCTTCATTCAGATCCATTTCTCTTTATTTCTCCTGAGCGCCCTTTTCTCTGCTTCCCGACATGTGATGGGAGCGCAGTATAAAGAGACTTTCAAAGTCCCTTCCTACTTCTGCCGCCCGGGCTCAACAATGTCGCGTAAGCCTTCACGCGTCACCTCCACCCAGTTCAAGAGATAGAACCGCGACTAGGGCTACTGAGGAAAACAACGACAGGATTGTGGAATGTGAATACCTCTGAAATCTTGTTCATCTTTACTTTCATTGCTCGTTCCACTGAAGCAACAAACACGAGCATTTGCCCTATTTTCTTCCCTTCATCTTGCACTATAAAGCTGACCCATTCCTCTAACAACATGAAGGGATGACAACATTGAAGACCTCCGTCTGTTTCCCTTTCACCAAAGCCACGCTCAATCATCTTTACCCTAGCCTGAAACTCCCTTTCCTTTCTGATCTCCCTCTGTTCACGCGGCTCCTTTGCCTGCTCGAGAGCCTCCATTGCCCTAAGTCAAAGCATTCCGCCTTTCCATTAAAATTGACCCAATCACCCTGCCCAAGCACCTTACTGGAGACGCCTCAACTAAATCCCCTTCCGTTCTTCTTTGTGCACAAGACCGAGCGTGAGCCTAACGCGCCAGCTAAGCCTCCTTCCTCAATTTGTTATTAACCACTTTATATTGTATTCTATATTAGAAAAAAATCAGAAAAAAAATGTGTCATATTTATTTATTTTATTGTTCTTCATCTCACCAATTATAGCCAATCGTCGTCACCATAGAAGGTATGACAAAATGGGCAATAAAGTAATTTTCAAAATATTCATTTGACGAGCCTGAGCCTGAGCCTAACCCGCCAGCCGAGACTTCCTCCATTTATTATTAAGTACTTAATATTGTATGTTATATTAGAAAAAAAAAAGTTTTGTTGTATTTATTTATTTTATCCTTGGTCATCTCGCCAATTACAGCCAATCATTGTCGCCAATCTTGCATGAGAAGGTATAACAAAATGGGCAATAAGGTAATTTTTGAAATATTTATTCAAGGAAGTGTGAGTACTCATCCTTGTGAATTAAGTACTGTCTAGAAAAAATGAAAATTTATTTTGGAAATGTTTATAAATTTTAGAGGATTTAAATACTCGTCTTGGGAAAAGTGAGTACCTGTCCTTAGGAATTAAGTACTATTCAGGGAAAATAAAGTACCGCTCAAGGAAATGCTTACTTGTGATTTGACTCTTTTTACAGCTACATTGAAGGTCTATTGCGCCTTTGAAGACCGTGGGCATAAAATATTTTCTCTCCCTAGCCTCAGTGTCTCACGGTTACTGCCAACGAGTTATTTAAGATCGTTGGGAAGACTAACATTCTCCCATGTCCCCCTAACGGGGCTTAATGTTGGGAGATTGCCGATATTTTGGGTGATTTGGAGTTGTAAAATAACTTAATCTTGAAATTTTTGAAGTTATAAAATAATGTGAAATCGAAATCATTTGAATTTTAAAATAATTTGAAAAATTGAGCTTTTAAATTTTAGTCTCCTAGGGTTAAAAATATCTAGGATCTTGGCTTTTAAAATTTAAACTCTTAACGTTTGAAGCATATTTAATAATTTGAGCTTTAAAGTTTAGGCTCCTGGGGATTTAAAAATATTTGAAATTTTAGGTTGTCAAACTTAGGCTCATAGGATTCAAAAATAATTTAAAGCTGGGGATTTTAAAATTTGAAAATCTTGTTATCTAATTCACAACATATCTGTTAGCTAATAGAAAATAACTCTTTTAAAGCTTAAAATGAAACTTTTTTTTTTTTCATTCAAAGGTTCTAATTTTTACTTAAACTTTGAAAAATTTTGAATGTAATTTATGAACTTTAAGTCAATGTTTAATTTCGATATGATGCTCTGGAATTCATGCAAGTGCATAAAAATATTCTCATATAATTGTGAGAGTGCTCTCAAGTTATATATGTGCATTCAGAGAAATGCAAGTTTATCATGTGAATGTTCTGAGAAAATATGTCAAGTATTTTTATGGTCTAAGTTAATAAATTGAATGCCCACATGGGCTCCACCAAATTAATTAAACGCCTAAACTCAATTGGTTTGAGAATGTTGCACAAGATCAGACCAACCTTGCATTAAAATAATTTATATTTAAAAAAAGCAATCAATCGGGCCTCCCTTTCTAGAAGGCAGAGTTGTAATTCCCACCTACCTAGTCCGATTCTCTCTCTTAAGAATTGGAGTTGACGAGTCTAGCAAAATTCAAATAAACTCCAAATAGAATTTGCAAGTCAAAATCACCAAGTACGATCATTCTCCTACTTAAGGACTGGAATCGATATGATAAATATGCTAAATACATCAAAACTGACAAAACTCAAACTAATTTCAATTATGAAAGTATTAAATGTGAAAGCCTTCGTGATGGCCGTGTTGACTGAAAATTTCAACTAGAGTTGATTTCAAACCAACATTCAAACTAATTTTTTAATCAAACACTTGTTTTAAAACTAAATCACTTGAGAATTATAACAAATTTCATCCACCATTTGTAATAGTTTGTTGAGGGTAACACTTTTGATTTACTTCAGCTCACAAAAGAGCTAATGTCACATTAAGTGTGCCATGATATTTACACTCAAAATAATTTCACGCTTGTAAGGATGTGACCCAAGTCCTATGTGCATGTGGTTTGGCTTAAAGACTCCTCATAATAGTGGTTACGACTAGAGTACTTTGACCAGAGATTTGTTGCTAAATAACACTATTATATTATGACTATGGCTGCAACTCATATATTTCTCAACGACTTTCTGTCCTTTAGACTTGTGGACAATAAGTGTACATCTGATTGACACAATTTTCTGTTAGCTAAGGTCGACTTAAATTTATCCTCATAGAGAAACATGTATCTCAAATCTATAAAGGTATCTTGGACGTCGTAAATCATAGTTTCTGATAAGGATCTTTCAGTCAGGTTGGGTCGACTAACTCCTCTGATTAAGTAGATCCAGGACCATGACGACCCGAGATGACGGAACCATGAAATCTTGATCGGGTTCGTCACCATTTCTCCCACTATCTGCTTTAGTAAGAGATAAATTTTATAATTTAAACTATATGTTTGTTGCTACTATATGCTAAATATTCGATGTTTAATACCTAGCCTAAAGCCAAAATGTTCTCACATTATCAGGAGAAGTAATTAATAATGGGGGCTTGCGCTTATGAGAAACCTCGTGCTCCAGATCAAATATGTCATCACAAAATGAGGGCAAAATCTCTGGGTAGTGTCTTATCTACAACACAATCTACCTTCTGAAAATTTTATCCTCAAAGCTCTCTCTCAGAAACAATAGGTTGGGGCGGTTGAAAGGTTTGGAGCTCAGATTTCTGACGACTCCACTTAAGTAGGCTAGCTTTATAATTATTTTCGGCGGGATGTCTGGCGTCATTCTCCCAGGTTTGAGGGAACTTCGAATTCATTCGTCGAAGCTTTTATTTTGTCATAGTACGGAGTCCGGTAAACCCGGTTGAAGATATTAGAAATGTCTTAATCCCCCTTGTAAGTCTATTTTGTAGGCATTCTCCTTTTAAAGCACATCTGGATATAATAAGTATCTATCATATTTTGACACAACATAGCTGGAACTGCATGTGGATTTGTATCCTCACGAACCACATCTCGAGCCATTAAATATGTGATTGACTCACATCGTATTCGTATGAGTGTATCTGATAAACAAGTATCTAAGGATGAATCAACTTTGAGATGAAATTTATGGTAGGTTGGGCAACTCTCAATAGCAATCACTCATGAGAGGCATTTTCTTCTCTGATACGACCTAGATCCTATTGTTAGATGTTTTTTTTCCACAAAGATACTAAGGTGATTTACAATGTTGTGATTCATCACTCCGATCTAACCATCTATTGGTGGGTAAACTGCTGAATTAAAGTTAATACCCAAATGACTCCAAATGGTCTTCAAGAAGTATAGATCTTTGACATATTGGATCTCTCTCAGTAAGGGCAACTCAGGAGGTATGCTATATATATCTGAAAAATCTGAAATTTTCTTATCTAGAGTTGTCCTGTGTTTGGTATCGACTCATCAAACTTATGGTTTTTTTGGGACATCCAATGTTCAGTCTTACTGATGCTTCTTTCAACGCTTCAAAAAGGTAGTTTATGACACCACAACCTTATACTCTGCATGAACGCCTATTACCTTGAGCTTCTAGAACAAATATTGTTAACCCTTTGGGATATATCTCTTCGGCTCAACTTGAATTGCATGCATCTCTCTCTCATCAATTGGGAGCTGGTACTCGTTTGTTTTCTCACTTTCTTATGTGTCTACTGTGTCATTGTCAATTTTTGCAATTGCTTCATTCTCAGTGAAATAGACTGTATTCTTGTTTAGGCAATCTGATGCACCGTGCCTAAAATTGTGACACTTGAAACGCTTTCTAAGATATAGTAATGTTGGTTGACTCCACCTCTTCTCCACTTTGACTTAGTTTCTCCTTAGACAAGGTCTGTTTGGATGTTTCCCTGGGTGTACTCTTATCTACTTGATCCTGGAGTTTAATTCTATTTGTAAAATGTGGCAATCATTCGGTGTTGTTATCTGTCCACTTTTGAAGCTAGGGCCTGCACATCATGCATGTAATTAACCAGTAGGTACTAGTGCTGCAACTCTCGTTTCATCTTAAAACCTGATAATAATTTTATTTTTTTTATTCCCGCTGTCATAGGTGTTTCACATTTTCCAAACACAATGCACTCTTCTTTAATTTGGTGGAGGCTAGCTTTACCATTATGTCCGGTGAGATGTTCTGGTACTCAAAGACACGTTTAATTACCTGGAGCCATTTGATGAACCCGTTCGAATCCATGTGGCCGTCAAAACATTGTGAGTAACTATGCACTTCAAAATCCTGACTTCTTTGATATTCTATGCCAAATTTTCGGGATATTAATTGTTCATCGCTTGAAATTGCTATGTAGAAGATATTCACTGCATCCTTTTGATTCGACGAATTACCATTGTCGCTACAGGTGACCCTTCCGGATTGTCTACTCTCGAATGCGGCAAGCTCCTATTGCAATTAAAGGATTCCCTATAATGTTTTTGGACATCTTTTTGTGAATTTCTCATAAGTGGATATTGTGTAATTTCCTTATGATTGGTTTTCCGACACTTATCTCGTCAGTGGCGTGGTTAGGGTTAGGGTTTGTGTAGGTGAAAGTGGGTGTATGGGGGCTGATGTAGGTGGGAAAGAGAAATTTTGGGTGGGTGATTTGGAAAATCTTCGAAAGGAAGGGTTTTTGGGTGTAGATTATGTTAGGTAGTGATGGATTTAGGCAAGTCTAAGATAGGATTTTGGTTAGGCTAACTCTAATACCAAATGATATCGAAGTTAACCAACAACAAATAGAAAATCAAATTTTATTGCTGAAATCAAGTAGGAAATTACAATCAAACACATTGAAATGGGAAATAACAACACACCACACAAACCTGAACGTGGGTTCAATCCAGGGGTGATGGTGATCGGCTAAGTAGATTGGAAAGGGTGGTAGGCGGCTGGAATGATTGGATGGATGTGGGATGGGGGGCGGTTACAAGGAAGCGATGCGGAAGGGCAGGGACAGCAACTCCTTGTCCCGGATGGCGGCAACAAGCAGACAGCTGATGGCACGATTGGGAGATAGAAACTGCAAGAAGGAACAACCAGGATAACTGTTCCGGGCGGCTGTAGCAAGGAGACAGGTGTCAAGTAGAGGCTTTTGGATGGCTGTGTTGGGGCGAAAATGAGTGTAGGGTGGCTCGGAGAGTCTGGAAAACATTAGTTTGGCTGTTCTGGGTGATGACAGCAAGGGGAAAGGTGATGACGGCGAGAGGCAGCAGGAGGGGCTGTCGGTACGGTAGGATAGGAAGCAATCCAAGCAGGAGATAGAAACTGCAAGAAGGAACAACCAGGACAACTGTTCCGGGCGGCTGTAGCAAGGAGACAGGTGTGGCAGCAAAGCAGGAGGGACATGGAAGGGTTGATGAGGAAAAAATTAACATCTTGGGAGCGAGATATAGCCAGAGCATCATTCAAGCCGTGGATACAGCTCTCAAATTGAGAAATGGAGGGGCCGACTGTTGTCTCGAAAACACGTGAAAATTGTGGATCCAAATCTTAATACAACACATATAGAAAAGAACTAGAAATGAAAGAGGGATAAACTAAAACTCTTTGAAAAGTAGGAAAAAAAAATATCGACCAATTTGGTCTTTCTGCGATCGCGGGAACTGCAGTTTGCCTCCCGTTTCTGGGGCATAGCGTCCTGCATCACAAAGTAAATATTATTCGCCTAAGTTTTTGTTTCCGATATTCGACTTATGCATAAATTCTCTTTGTGCTTTGGTTAAAAATTCTCTATTACGCTAAAATTTAACTTATTTGTTTACTTCCAACGTGTATAATTCAACTTCTTGACTATATTCCGTTCTTCATGCCCTACATTATTTTTCCGTCGCAGCTTCTTCTCTGTCTTTCCTAATCCTTCTTTCTATTGGTTCAACTTCACAGTTATGCATTGGAGTCCCTTGCCATACATTTAAGTTCTGGGCTTTCATAGGGATACTCTTTCAGGTACACGTGCACATCCATTATATTCTGCATGCAACAAACTTCTGTAAAATATAAACTAAGGCAATGGAGCTTTTTACTTATGTCCTGAAGTTTTCATAACAATTTAGAGCCTCTGTTACAGCTAATGAGCGGCTCTTGCCTTATTTCCTGACTTATTTTGCTTACCAGGTTCCCTTGGGCATTTTAACACGCTATCTACAGGAGAAATTTAAGAGTTCAATGGTATGCATTTATCTAATTTTACAATACATTTTCTAATTACTGAACATTCTTATATGGCTAAGATGGCGTATATGTAAAAATTGAAGTTTAGAAGTTAGATATGTAAATACATTGGAAATACATGATATATATATATGTAAATCTTCTTAAAAAAATAAAACATAAAATAAATCCAGGCTCGTACTGACTCATGAGTCTGCCAGGTGGGAAATATGATATTCTGGGTCTTCTTCTGCATCCTCGGCCAGCCCATGTGCGTGCTCCTGTACTACCACGATGTGATGAACAGAAGAGTGAGAACGGAGTGATTGAAGTTTACAGCCACAGCAGAACACAGCAGGCAAGTTCCTTCTCTTTTACTGCTTCATTCCATATATTGGGAAAATGCTCAATTCCTACAAAACCATTTTTTAGCTATGTAAATAAAGTGGAAACCTAACGGAAGAGATCACAAGAAAATAAATTTTGGTTTATATGCATATAGAAAAAGATTGGTTTTTGTGCGCTCATTTTGATAATTTCTATATATTCAGTAAAATTCGGATAACTACTATACATATAATAATGCTTTTGTATTAAAAATTCTTCTTTTCCTAAAATGTAGGATAGAAATTGGTATATATATATATATTAAAATTTTTTAATTTAATTGAAGATCATCCAAACATCAATTTTAGCATATTTATAGTAGAACTCATTCTTGTTAAAACAAACTCAAATGATACTAAAAGTAAATTGATCCAACTCCAAATGAGTCCAATTCATGCAATTGCAGTATAGTTGAAGACTCTTGACACATTAATCAAAATAATCTCAAATTCTTGTATACTTATAGTTAAATTAAGTATTTTTAAGAGAAAAACTAACAAATATAAGAACTCTTAATTATGACTTCATTGAGGTTCTTAAGTATAAAAAATTGTCATGCAATTGTTTTAAACTATTTAAGTTTATGAGTAATGTCACTCCTAAAAAATTAAAACTAGAACCTTATTTTTCATATGAGAAGCCAAAAAGGGATGGAGAGAGCTTAATGGTTTGAAAATTTTTTGAGCTCTACATGACCATCTTATTTGGACTATCGCTCTACCATCACCAACGAAACCCCCGCCATCAAATTGTTGTTGATAGGTCATTGCAGTCATAATGTTGACAAATGGTCACTAGTGGCAAACTGTCATTGCTTCATTTTTATAGACTAATTGCCATCACATTTGTCTATAGTCACGCAACCATAATGCTGAGAAATGATCACTAGTGTCAAACTGTCACTGCTTCATTATTGTTGTCTGATTGTCATCATATTTGTGTATAGTCACTCAACTTCTATTGCATAACAACAATTTTGTCATCACTATTGCCCGACTAATGTATTTTGATTGCCATTGCTCAACGAAATTCTCCCAACCATTATCACCCAACTACACTCTCGAGATTACCATGGCTCGATCATTATCACTTATAAATGGCTACCTAACCACTATCGCCAAGCTGGAATTGCCTGACTAGCATTTTCTAATTGTAACTACTCAACCACGGTCACCCAATTACAATCTTTCAAGCAACTTCACCAAACTCTTGTCTTCCAACCATCATCACTTGACTACACTGATGCTCATTGACTTTGTTGCTCGCCATTTCTTATAAGACCAGTTCATAATATTAACATGTGTCATCACATTTAAGGTCAATACATGATTTTGATATACGCTCACTTTAAAATCTGATGGACATTGTCAACACCAATGTCATTGCCAACCAACCTTTTTTGTATGTTGTCGCTAACAATGTTAATGTAAGAAATTATTCATAAGATTAATGCAAGTTATCGATACCAACAATGGTGTTTGCTGACTTTGTTGTTTGTCACCATCAATAGTGTTGGTGGAAACCATCTAAGTTATAAAAAAAACATCATAAAAAACAAAAGAAGAACATAAAATTGACATTTTCAAAATATTCTATGAAAAATAATTATATATCATTTGTCTTTTGAACTAATTCAATTGTTTGAAGTAACTATAGAACCATATAAAATATATACGCATAATTTTAATTAATTGAGATTAACTTCAACTTTATTCAATCTCAGATAGTATTTTAGGCTAAAAAAAAGTAAGATTTTCATACATACAACTCAATTTATATATATTTACACATCTTAACACCTAAACTTTAGTTTTTACATATATATATATATATGCCACCTAATCTATGCATGAAAAGGTGCATTTCCCTTTTTAATGGCATTTTTTATGTGATATGAAAGATTTGGGCGGCTTTAGTATAAAAATCAAATGTTTAGGTGTTAGATATGTAAGTACATGGGAACTGGGTGGTATTTATGTAAATGTAGCATGTTTTAATTGAGTATTTTGGTGTTATGCAGAAATGACAGGAACTCTACAGTCACAAGTTCTGATGCATTTCTTTGTTCTTCAGTTTTTATGTGATGTTCTGAGATCATTTTGCTGCTTGTGAATGGGGGCATAACTATAAATAAATAAAAGTATATGGCCCCATGTGTGTGAATTTGTCTTTTCTGTATATAAGCTATCCCTTGTAGGCAATGGAACTGTGTTTTTTAAACCTGTGATCGATGTGGTTTTCTCCATTGTTCTTCCTGCAGCTGTTAGAAACTTGTTTCTTTGCTACAATTCTGTTTTCTTTTTGAGGCATTTACATTCACACCACCCAATTCCTTTGTATTTACATATCCACACCTAAACTTTACGTTTTTTATATTTATACCAGCCAAATCTTTTATATCGCGCATAGATAAGATGGTATGTATGTAATTGAAGTTTAGGTGTTAGATATGTAAATACATAGGAATTGAGTAGTATTTATGTTAATATTCCTTTTCTTTTTTAGTTCTAATTAACACCTACTTGCTTTTTAATCATAAAAGAATGGAATTTTTAAAGATTTATGAACCATTTAGCATGTCTAGAGCTAAATTATTTTTGCAATTGTGGACTTTTATTGCCCATCATCATGATATAATGCAAACTTTTTGGTAATATATTGCCCAAAGTGTAAGATTTATTTAAATTATTTCATTTATTGTGATTTTTTTATTGTAAAAGTAGAATGTCTAAGTATACTTGTTGATGTAAATTAAAGGTAAATTTGCATACATACCACACAATGCTTTTGCATTTACATATCTAATGCCTAAAGTTTGATGTTTTCATTTGTAACATTTGGGTGTTAAAAAAAGATACATGAAAAGGTTGTATTTCACTTGTGAAATGTTAGTGATGCAGGTATTTAGCATGTTTGCCAATTATTATATCAAGGTTTATGTTAGGGGCATTTTACATGCATAACACCCAATTCCTATGCATTTACACATCTAACATTTTATATTTATGCCGCCATTTTAACTTTTATGAAGTGAAATTCGTCTTTTCATGCATAGGGAAGGATGGCATGAATGTCAAGTATTGAAGTTTAGATATTAGATATGTAAATGCGAAGAAATTGAGTGGGTTGTAAATCTTTATTTATGTTGATGTTTAAGAATTCAGCTTCTTTCAATTGTAGAGGGCTTCACCCGGACTTCGAACGTAATATTTTCTCACACACACACACAGAGACGCACAAAAGCACACGTCCTTTTGCCACTCGATAGTTCAGTGAAGATGATAT